AAGGATGTGCTGCAGCACCTCGTCGGAAATAAATCGGCGAAGGAGGCATGGAAGACCATCAAGATCCTGCACTAATGTCATGACCGTGTCAAGGAAGCACACCTTCAGTCCCTGATGATGGATGAAAGTGAGACGGTTCATCAGTTTGCCTCCCGTCTCAAGACCCTCGTCAACGGCACATGCAGCTATGGTTCAACCTTGGAAGAAGTTGCGATCGTCTGACGATTTTTGTACGCTGCGCCGGCACGCTATATCGAGATTGTCAGGTCGATCGAGCAATGTCTCGACCTGAAAACTCTCATGGTTGAGGATCTCGTCGAAAGATTCAAGGCCCACAATGAAAGAATTTGTCTCAGCTTTGGAGACTTGGAGGACAGTGAGCACCTATGCTGACAAAGGCGCAATGGATCACCTTGTCGAAAGAAAAGCAAGGCGGATCCATGAGCAGCGGCAAGAAGAAAGGGAAGGGAAAGCAACGCTCGCCGAGAAAGAACTTCGCTGACTCGGACGACGAGGCTGAGCCTGCATGACCGAGGAGGAAGTTTGACATCAGAAAATTTAGGTGTCATAAGTGTGTCCTCCTCGGTCACTTCAAGGCTGACTGTGAGAAAGCGCCGAAGCAGAGAGCGCTTATGGCCGAGGAAGGAGATGACGATGATATGATGCTGATATGCAAGCTAGTGAACAAGGAAGATCCAGATGATCACGGTCAACTGGACACAGGTCCAGTGAGTGGATCCGCGCCAGTAAACCCAGGCAAAGTCATGGCGCCAGAAGACCATGACGGAAGGCATGACGGTGTGGTCACGTTAGAAGTAGGTGAAGAAATGACACCAGATGTCCACAACACAATACGTGATGGTGTGGTCGCGCTAGAAGACGGCGAAGACGTGTCGCCAGAAGAACACAACACGATGAGGCTTGATGAAGTGGTCACCCCAGAAGAATGCAGCATGCAACGAGCTGTACTCGGGCCAGATGAACATGGCGCTATGTTGGACGGTGCAATGGCGAGGCCTGCGAGCGTCGCGTCAGATGATAGCGTGGCGACTACGGTAGCAGCGTTGCATGCATCGCAACAAGCGGCAAGCCAGGCAGTCCGCACGAGCAGGCAGCCCAGTCGAGGCACGTCCTCACGTACGGGGCTGGTCCAGCTTCGCTCGCTAGTGCCCGCAGCCTAGTAGACGGACCGGTTGGTGGCGGCACACTTTCCACTAGAAAACTCACCACCACGTGGTGGCCCAGCAGATAGAAAAGGGGTGCAACTCCCAGAAATTTTGCAAGGATTGTTTGGTTCAGAAAACAACGCAGGAGGGAGCTCACAAGCACGTGAAGGCCCAGCAGTTTTGGTGCTTGAAGAGCTTTCATTGGAATCTTTGGCTGATTTGCTCTCGAGAGAGAAGTTCGCAAGGGCCAGAAACGCCAGTAACGGGAGGTTTGGCAACTCCAGAAAGTGGGGCGTCGCCTCTGATAGCACAAGAGATGACGAAACAGCCACCTGCATCAGTAGGCATGTGACACATATTGAATCTCTGTCCGAAGAAAGCGCTTCAAATAAATTCAATGAAGATGAAAAGTAGTACTCTCTCCTTTTCGGTTTATAAGGCTCAATTAAAAAATCTCACCAACCAAGGTAGATGATGAGTGATGGAATATTTTTTATAGTTTGTAAAAACACCCAATTAATGCTCTTGTTTTCCTAAAAAATTATGTTTATGAATGCATTAATTGCAATGCATGCATGCATAAAGTGCATGCATTGGTCAGTTTTCTCTTAATACTTGCATGCAATGATTTAATACACCTTGAAGTCTGAACATGTGATGGTGAACAACCAAATTGAGCCTTATAAAATGAAAAAACTAAAATTTTGAGATAATCCCTATAAACCGGAAAGGAGGGAGTAAAAGGGCAACGGTGTTTGCACATTGAGGAACCGAATCTATTTGAAGACGCAATTAAAGACGGAAGAGTGTTGGCGTCGTGCTATGGATGAAGAGTTAGGGTCGATCCGTGACAACGAAACATGCGAGCTTGTGGATCTTCCCAACGGACATAATCCCATAGAGCTCAAGTGGGTGTACAAAGTCAAAAAAGATGTCAAAGGTAACTTGGTGAAGCATAAAACAAGCCTCGTAGCCAAAGAATACGTGCAGGAGCAAGGTGTGGATTTCGAGGAAGTGTTCGCTCCCGTTGCAAGGATGGAATCGATGAGGCTACTTATAGCTCTCGCAGCTCAAGAATCTTGGAGGCTACATCACATGGATGTAAATTCCGTGTTTTTGAACGGGGAGTTGAAAGAAGAAGTTTATGTGAAGCAACCATCGGGTTATATCAAAAAGGGAGAGGAACACAAGGTGTTGAAACTACACAAGGCATTATACGGGCTACGACAAGCTTCTCAAGTGTGGAACATCAAGCTTGACAGTATATTGATTTCTCTTGAATTTGAGAAAAGTCCACTGGAGCATACAATGTATAAACGAGGTAAAGGCAATGATCATCTCTTAGTGGGCACCTATGATGATGATCTATTGATTACTGGAGCAGACGAAGAGGTGATTGCAAACTTCAAGCTACAAATGAAGGAGCTATTCAAGATGACTGGTCTAAGGCTCTTGAGTTACTACCTTGGGATCGAGGTACACCAAAAGCTGCAAGGGATCACAATATGCCAGGAGGCATATGCAAAGAAGGTACTTGAAAGTTGGCATGAAAGATTGCAATCCAAGTTGTGTTCCGATGAAGCCTCGTCTTATACTAAGCAAGAAAAATGAAGCACCCGCGGTTGATACAACGGAGTATAGAAGTGTGTTCCGAAAGTTGAGGTATCTCACAAATACAAAACATGACTTGGCATATTCCGTTGGCATAGTAAGTCGCTTCATGGAAGCGCCCACGACTGAACATTGTGTAGCTGTGAAAAATATACCCAGATACATCAAAGGGACAACAAACTTCGGTTGTGTTTATTTGAGAGAGAAGAAGAAGGACATGGTGGAGCTACTTGGCTATAGTGATAGCAACATGGCAGGAGATGTGGACGATCGTAAAAGTACCTCGGGTGTGGCACATTTTTTTTGGAAAAAGCATGGTGAGTTAGCTATCACAAAAGTAGGAAGAGATCGGATTATCATCCCGTGAAGGAGATTATATTGCAGCTTAAATCGCGGTGTATCAAGGTGTATGCCTAGGACGACTACTCGGTGAGCTCACATGTACGGAACCAGAACGATTGGTGCTCAACGTTGTCGACAAGTCTACAATCTCTTTGTTAAAGAAACCAGTGCATCATGGTAGATGCAAGAACACCGATACAAGGTATCATTATCGATGAGAGTGCGTGGAAGAAAGCAAAATTGACATCAACTATGTTTGCACTGATGACAAGCTTGCAGATATCTTAACTAGGTCTTTGGGACGACACTAGTTCATGAAGATGTGGCGAAGGATTGACGTCCAAGTTGTGAAGTGAGGACATCGTCTTAAGGGGGTGATTGTTGAAATTAACCACGATTAGTAGTTTATGTCCGGCATCAGTCACCGTATAAGATTCCTATCATTAGCTAGGTTAGCTACTACGTATTCCTATATATACACATATGTATCCCCTTGTAAGATTAACCAAGATCACATCAAAGAAATAAAGAAACAAGACCGATACGGTCCTGTAGCCATCAAATCGCCTCGTGTTCTCTCGTGCGCTGAGTAGCCGGCGACTAGTTAGTACGTGGTACGTGCATGTGCTAGTATCTTACGTTCGCGAAGAATCGATCAAGGAGCTAGCTAGCTACTTCCTTTGTTTTCTTTGTTTCAAAATAGATGACTAAAATTAGTATAAAGTTGAGTCATTTATTTTAGAACGGAGAGAGTAGCTTCCTGGTAGGTACGTGTATCCATCAAGATTCGATCAGCTACTGTGTTAACTTTCAAACTATGTACGTGGAGTCTGGGTACGTCCGGAAAGTACTTGGCCAGATCAACGACTGCATGCTAGCACTTGACGGAAAGTAATCGTCTACGAGAACGTACAAGGATTAGGCCAACATCTCTGTTCTTCGCCTATAAACCCCACGCCCTTTACAATCCTTCTCCCACACCCACCTCTCTCTCTCTCTCGTATCTGATAATCATAGTCTTGAGGCGGTGATCTGAAGATGGCAGAGAAGAAAATTGATGTTGTCGTAGGAGGATGGCAAGTGATGGCGACTGATGATCACCTGAAAGCTGTGGGAGACACGGGCAAGCAGGGGCGCCTGCTGGTGGAAGGTTTCGCAGTGCAGGAGCCGCCGGTGGACGTGGAGGCTGCGGCCCAGCGGCAGGCGGGGGTGGCTGCCCTCCTCGCCGGTTTCTCCCACCACCTCCAGGACAGGACCGCCCATCACATGGGTACGTATGCGATCGCCGACGTGCGTGCAGGCCACATGCAAATTTTACGCACTACTCCCTCCATTTTCAAAATATAGTACGCTCGCGTTTTTCGAGGTCCAACTTTGACCATAAATTTAATCAACGAGACCGACTGCGGCGGAAGAAAAAAATATATAATTGAAAATTTCTTTTGAATATGAATTCACTGACATATTTCTTGCTCCCGCCGCAGTCGGTCTTGTTGGTTAAATTTATTATCAAAGTTGAAGCATGAGAATAGAGGAAGCACTATATTTTAAAATCACGGAATATTATATATATGTGTGTGTTCCGATTAATTTTATATAATCATCGTAGCTCCAAATCCAAAATCACAGCAACCAGGGAGAACAATTTATTTGTTTATTTTTGCGGGAAAATGAGTACAATTTTCTAACGTGCTACTGATTTGGCATTGGCAGGGTACCCATTTAATCTAGAGTTCGACTTCAGTGTCCTCGACCAATTCCAGAGCTTCTCCATCAACAACCTTGGCGACCCTTTCATCGAGAGCAACTACGGCGTGCACTCTAGGCAGTTCGAGGTTGCCGTGCTCAACTGGTTCGCCCGCCTATGGAACATCCAGCAGCATGAGTATTGGGGGATACATCACCAGCGGCGGGACCGAAGGGAACCTACACGGCCTACTAGTTGGGTCAGTATATCTATTTGTGTGCACGCGGATCATCAATTTACAACACATGAATTTCTTTTTATTTTCATCCATTTCGCCAAGAATCTGGACACGTATAGTTATTTCACTCGGTTTTAAACGAATACATTAATTTCATATGCAATTAACATTTGCAGGAGGGAGATTTTTCGTGATGGGATTATTTACGCATCTTGTGACTCACACTACTCCGTCTTCAAGGCGGCTAGGATGTATAGAGTCGAGTGCGTCAAGATTGGCACACTTGTTTCCGGAGAGATCAACTGCGCGGATTTTAAGTCCAAGTTATTGATGAACGCCGGGAGGCCTGCGATTGTCAATGTGAATATAGGTTACCATCTTGATTTTACATTTACATTCAGATGGTTAAAACTGGCTTTCTTAAGTGTCCCTTGGTGGTTCATGTTGACACACTTCCTTTTTTGCTTTTGTTTCTTTTAGGAACGACCGTCAAGGGAGCCATTGACGATCTTGACAACATCATAAGAATACTAGAGAAATGTGGGTTCCGAGATCGATTCTACATCCATTGCGATGGTGCTCTGGCTGGCCTTATGATGTCATTTATCAAACACGTGGGTGATGTTAAGATTCGTAATTACCACTTGTTGTAACGAATTTGAACTTTTCTTGATAAATCAAGAAAATGACCTAACTTACTTACTTTTATTTTATTTTCCTCTAGGCACCAAAGGTGACATTCGACAAACCTATTGGAAGCGTGAGCATCTCAGGCCACAAGTTCATGGGATGTCCAGTACCATGTGGTGTGGTAATAACAAGGCTCGAGCATGTAAAAGTCACTGGTGGAAAAAAGGCCTTTGGTTGCGGTTCGCAACTGCTATTAGTCGCGGTTGCGCAACCGCGACCAAATAAGCGCGACTAAAGCCCCCCACCTTTAGTCGCGGCTGCTTAAGAACCGCGACTAACGGCCCGTCCACGTGGGCGCCAGGCGGCCGTCGGGGCGGAGGACCTTTAGTCGCGGTTCTTCTGGCCAACCGCGACTAAAGGCCGCCACAGGTTTAGGGTTTTAGCCCCCCCCCCCTAAACCTGTTTTCTGTTTAATTTGTATTGTTTTATTTCTTTTGTGCTTTATTTTAATTTTGAAGGAGTTTCATATATTCTACGGTACTACATACATGCATATGAATGTACAATTTCAAATAAATTTGAAATTAGAACCAAAAAGAATTCAAGAGGAATATACAATATATATTCAATATCATCGGATGACCATATACAATTTTGAACAAGTTTCCATACATGATTTAATGCATATAAAGTTCTACGTCCTCGTAATAGTGTTCTCCTTTAGGATGGAGGACTTCCCTGCTGAACCATCCAGCTAGTTCCTCTTGAAGTGGTCGGAAGCGAGCTTCTGGACTAAGCATCCACCGGAGGTTATTCCTCTGAGCATTGGTATCACTCGGAACCCGCTCAGAGGTGTATCTCCGGATCATCTCAGAGACATAGTATCCACATAGATTGGTCTCCGGTGGCTGAATATCCCCAGCATTCTTAGCCTTTAACATTTTGAATTCTAGCTCTTTTTTGAATTCACCGACCTTTGTATCTACGAACCGTCTCCAAACCCTACGAGGCAAAGAAAATTAAATGAACAAGAGAGTTATTAATTAGTTACTTGATATTAGGAAATGAACGAAATAGGCCGATCGATATAGAGCGCAAATGAATGAAAATAATTACTTCTGCAGCATTCTTCTCATGCCGCCCCAAAGCTTTGGATCCATATTCACAGAGTCGTGGACGAGACATTCTGAGGTGTTAACTTTAATTACTAGCAGAATCCAGTGGAACCTGCGGACACGATACATGCACAGTACGTCATGCATAACTCATCGATTAGCCGGCCACATACCATGCATGGAGTAAACAAAAGAGAATGTGCTCAAGACAGAAACACTCACTCAAAATGGTAAGGAAATAGAATATCACTTTTGAGTTCCTGCTTTGTAAGAAACTGCCACAGGTCTGCCTCCACGTCGGCGGGGTGATGCTCCAACACATGTCCATTAACGATGTGTGGGTCAATGAACCCAACATCATGGATGTTCCTTACTCTGCATTCCTTAATCTTCATTCTGCATGTATAATAGCGGACACAACAATATAGTTAGGACATATATATAGTGCAGGCAATATGAACGAGATGGGGTAGAAATTAATAAATCACTTACAGAACATAGCAACTGATGATAGATTTATCGAGCTCGCGCAGATTGAAAAGCTGGAATAATTCACTCAGTTCAATTTGTACATAGTAATGTTTGAAGTGATGCTCATGTCTAACTTCCGCATAAATATATTCTTTGGCGTTTTTATTTTTTATGTAACCCTTGTACCATTTCAGCAGACCTTTCATTTGTGGAGGTAGATCCTTTTCCTGCGCAGGCTCGACGAGAGGCCCATTCTTGACATATGTAATTACTACCTCCTTCACTGGCGCCTCATCAAGGCCTAACAGTTCACGAAGAGTAATACCTAAGTTGGCCGCTTGTTCTCTGGCACTCGTTACAGTCAATCCCTGTGCTGCCGCAGCTTGTATGATCTCGGGGGCATCCGGACAGAAGGCTTCCACTATAAGCGGGGCAATCGATTGTTTACTTTGTTCCCCGAGCTGGGCAACTTGTTTCCCGCTTTTTTTACTTTCGGCCTTCTCCCGCTCTTTGTTCTCCTTGAACATGAGTGCCTGCCTGCGAAGTTCACGTGCATAGTCGTTAGGCAGATTCTTCGCGGCTTGTGACGGTGTGCTCAAAAATGACTTAGCCCACTTCTTTTGCTCATCAGAAAATACTGGCTTGGGCTCGGGCTCTGTTTTCTTCTTGCAGTCCGCCTTCCATTTCTCCAAATCAGCAGCCGCGGCCGCGTCGACTTCCTCGGCACTACGTTCCCAAGACCTTGTGGGGAGAGGCTTCAGTGATGGCTCCGGTACCTTTGTGGTCTTAGGTACATAAGGGTCCGGGTTAATAATCCAGGACTGCTTCTGCTTCTTTGCCGGAGGTGGATTGGGGGGCGGCGTCTGATCACCCGCCGGACGAGGACTGGGGGGCGGCGGCTGATCACCCGCCGGACGTTGTGGACTGGGGGGCGGCGTCGGCTGACGTGACGGAGGTGTAGGTGAACCGCCACCACCACCACCACCACCACCACCGCCACCGCCACCACCACCATCGTAGGGGGGTGGACTTGTTGTCCTTGGCGCCTCGCCTGGAAACTTGATAAACTTCTTTTGCCATAGAATGAAATGGCGCTTGACATCTCCAAGTCTTTTCTCCCCTTCAGGTGTAGCAATGTCAATCTCCAGGTCCTCAAACCCTTGGACTATGTCCTCCACCGTGACACGAGCATAGCCATCTTGAATGGGGTTGTTGTGGTGGAGTGCTCCAGGTAAACATGGTAAAGCACTGCCGATGGCTACCTTCATGGACATGTTCCCGATAGGATAATACAGATGACATTCTTTCATCTCCTTTATATCGTCCACGGGGTAGCGAGGAGGCTCCGGTGAAGTAATTTCGACCACCAGAGGCTCCGGTGCAGTAATTTCGATCGTCGGTGCATCTGCACCAGCCGGTGGGGCCTCCGTGGAAGCCACGCTGCTTCTCCGCTGCTGGCTTCCGAGATCCGCTGGATGATCTTCATGCTGCACCCGAGCTGCATCTCTTTCGGCTACTAGTACACTCATGGTTTTCTTCATCACATCCATTTCCGATGCCAACTGCGCCACAACATCTGCTTCCCGATCCATCTTTCTCTTACGGCTTCTGTAACCGTACGGGTCATCGTTCTGGGGGAACCCTATTTTCCACGGAATGTGCCCCATGCCTCGTACACGTCCTCCGTGTTCAGGATTCCCGAGGGCTTTTGTCAGCGCGTCGTTCTCTCTGTTGAACTTGATCTTCCCCTGTTGAGCATCCCTCATTGCGTTAATAAGGGCTTGGGTGGGTTTAATTAATTTGCCCCGGTAAACACACTCCCCTGTCTCCGGGTTCAGCGTTCCCCCATGCCCGTACCACCAGCTTTTGGCCCTTGGGTCCCATCCCTCCGTACCTGGACGGATTCCTCGCGCCCTCAGCTCGTTCTCCATCTTCTCCAACCTAGGCACCCAAATGCGATACCCTCCTGGCCCCATAACATGATTGTACTCCTTCTTAGCCGCATTTTCCTTATTTTTTTCGATATTTGAATGAACTGCTCCGATTTCTTTTGCTTCACAAATTCTGGCCAATCATGTTTCAATTTCTCATATTGTCCTTTGAAATCCGGAGTCTTGTTCTGCTTGACAAAGTCATGGGCTAGATTTTGCTTGAATTTCCGGAATGCGTCGGCCATCTTATGAAGAGCGAACTGTTTGACTAGCCTCCTCCTCTCCTTGTTTTCCTCAATCTTGTTACCCTCCTCATCGAATTTGTTGTATTCCGGAGGTAGAACGAAATGTTCCATAAGCTTCTTGAAGCAATCTTTTTTTGTTCTCTTATCGACAAAAGTGAAACCATCAATTCGTGCCTTCTTTGGCTCATTCCACTCCTGGACGGTGATCGAGACGTTGTCTCTAACAATGGCTCCGCATTGGCTGACAAACTTGGTGGCGTTCTTGCGGGGCTCCAGCGGCCTGCCGGTTGCACTATCGACAACCTCGATGGTGCATGTTTCTCCTTGTTTCATCGTCTTGGTTGCGCCACGCTTTGACGACGTACTCGATTGTTTCGACGATCCGGCCGAGGGCTAAAATAAGAAAGAGCCGCGCGCGTTAGTACACACATATTTATTCAAATCAGTTAGTTTGTATCACCAGAGGCTCAATGTATATATATACCTCGGCGCCGGAGGTGGTTGCTACTTCCATTTGAAGATCGTCGTTTATCGACGTTTGTTCGGCATCATCTTGCTGACGGCGCCCTTCATCTTCACCGTCAAGGTTCAGATAAGAAGAGATATCATCTTCTTCTTCTCCGGTCGGCACATATAGAATATCGCCGTTTATGATGCCGAACATATGTGCTTCACCGTCCGGATCATAGTTGTCCATAATCGGGTCAGCTCTATCGTCCGCCATTATGTCAGTCCTGAAAACATGTAGTAAAAACAAATTAATTAAGTGAAGAAGGGGGGCGGTGGCGGTGGCGGTGGCGAAAGGGCGGTGGCAAAAGGAGGGGGCGAGGAAGGGGTGGGAGAGGGTGTCGCGGTAGAGCGCGAGACGGGGCGGCAGACGACGGCGTCACGGAGAGGGGAGGCGAGGACAACACATTTATAACCCTCGCCGTCCCCTCTCGATCCCTAAAAAAACACCGCGCGCATCGCCGCCCCCCTCGCCGCCCCTCTCCGTATATACGTTTTTTTTTGTTAATTATCAAATTTTACGGGTTTTTTTTGTTAATTATCAAGTTTTAAGTTATTTACCGTTTTTGTTAAACTAAGTTATTTACCGTTTTTGTTAATTATCAAATTTTACCGTTTTTTTGTTAATTAACTAGTTAAAAAATTATCTCTCTCTCTCTCTCTCTGCTCTCTCTCTCTCTCTCTCTCTGCTCTCTGCTCTCTCTCTCTCTCTCTCTC